TTTACATTGTGTGGGTATCACGCAATACCGAGCAAAATAGCGTGTTTAGGGAGATGTGCAACAATTTTAATGGGGTGATGTGCAACATTCTCTTTTCGATAATTTATCGCTATTTAATGATTTAATTTGTGTATAAGAAGAAGAGAAATAATTAAAAAATCAAATAAAAAAAGATTTTCTTGGATGAAAATTTTAAATGAAAAGCTATTTATACATTTTTAACTTAAATTTTACCTGTGTTGCACATCACCCCAAAAAAATTTGAAAATGACAAAACGGACAATTTTGAAAATTTGAAAAAACTTGAGGAACTAACCAAAATTTTGAAAATCTAATAATTCAGATTTATAGTATTTCACTTCCTCTAAACAATAGAATCATAACATATTAAAGTGTTTTCCGATCAATGAAAAAATTGGTGCACATCACACCACAACACCCTACAAAATATTGCAAGATTTTAACATTAAACAAATTGAAGTTTAATTCATTTGAAAACAAAAACTATAACAATTTTTTTAAAAATTAATTGATAAAAAATCAGTGGAACAAAATGTAGTGGAAGAAATAACTATAGTGGAAAAAAGGTAAAGGAGAGGGCCCCAAGATGGACATCTTCATAGAATGCATTGAAAAACGAGTAAAATAAAAATTAAACATCATGTAAGGATTTTTCAACCAATTTTCTATTTCTTATAGTTTTTGAAAGTTCGAACAATTTTTAATTGTTAAAAACACAGGCACACAAAAAATAAAAAGTTGTTTGGCCGAGACACTACACTAGTCTATTTTCATGTATTTTTTCACGCTGAATCCGAATCCGAAGTCAGAATTGACAGATTGGCTCAAATTTTGAAGATAATTCCAAAAAACTGATTTTGAGTATTTTGAGTTTTTTGTTACTTGTGTTTTTTTTGCAATTATCTCAAAAATTTGAGCGAATCTAACAATTCTGACTTTGGATTCGGATTCAGCGACAAAAAATACATGGAATTACACTATCGCAGTGACATTCAAAAATTTTTTAACTTTTTGATTTTATTTTTCTTTCTGAGCAGTTTTTTCAGTTTATCTCAAAAATAAGAGCCAATCTGATAATTCTGACTTCGGATTCGGATTCAGCGTGAAAAAATAAATGAAAATAGACTAGTGTAGTGTCTCGGCCAAACAACTTTTTATTTTTTGTGTGCCTGTGAAATTAAAACATATTTTTAAAAAATTAATTTTAACGGCAATATAAGAAAAGTCAAATAACGATCGGAACTGTCGGTAACTATATCAACAGATTTAAATTCTCTATTGATAAGTACACAATTTCGAAGTGGAAAAATAAAAAATATCAATTATGAAGCTGAAAGCATTTTTAAAAGGCTGTAAAATTAAAAATAGATGAAATACAGAAATTGAGATGTCATATACATCTTGGGGCCATCTTAGAACACCAGTTTTTGAACGTCAATAAAAATTATTTATAAACATAGAATTGACCAAATCATATTATAATATTATTACATGATAAATAAATGAGAATATTACGATATGAACCTATTGGGATTGGCTAAACTTCAATACGCAATTTGGAGTTTACCTACTTCTGACCATCATTTTCCTTTTTCAACTTTCCTTAATTAACACTGTAGAAAGAGAAATAAAAACTAAAATGTCTGACGAAGTAGATAAAAGTCACTAGACCACCAATCTCAATTCGAAATAAAAAATATAGATAATTTTACTGACTGGAATGGAAATGGCTGTATCCCTTTTGGGACCATCGCCCCTCGTAGAAAAAATTGACTGGATAAACTGAGTGTATCATTTAAACTATCAAAAATATAAAGTCCTTGTCCATCGAAATAAGTGCAAATCCAATGACCACAATTGCGATTACCACTAAAAAGTATTTGAATTTATTTTTCACCTATTTGAATCGCTATAATATTATCAAGCTCTTATAAAAACAAAGTACTTTGCATAGTAAATGTCGAATTTGAAACTCATTTCAACAATTTTTTAAATTGATACATGTGGTCATCAGTTAACCGTCATTTCTCATCTTTTATAATTTTAAAATCTTCTTTACTTAAAGTGACATACCTTTCTCTGTTCGCTTTGTAATATAAACAACACTTCAAATAAAAATTGTCAACAAAAATTAGGAAAAAGAAATAATTTACTTCATAACATAAACTACACTTCAAAAAAATATTCACTCAAAATAATCACTCACAGTTGAAAATCCTAAGTTTCTTTACAGAAAATACGCTTAAACGTTGAATGCGTTTTCGCGCATGCAAAGAATTTTCGGCTGCGAGAGGGGACAATGAAAATCGTGCCTGTCCCCTTATACAATTCAGTACCTTTATGATTAAATATATTGCATTGAGAAATTAATACTAAAATTTTTTTATTTATATTTCATTGTCGACAAACAAATAGTGAGGATGCGGACGGAATGAAAGAATACGGAGATTATTATAGTTAATTTAAATAATAACTAATAATAAAATCTGTTATTTTTAATCTGAAGGAATCAATTTTCGAGGAAATAGTGAGGTTATAAATTTATAACTCAGGAATAACACCACTAATATACATTGCAATTTGATTTTTGAGTAAATTACACTTCAAATCTTTAATTCTAATATAATTTCTTTAAAAAAAGGAAAGTGAAAATAAAAAAATTAATATAAAATTCAATGATAATGTAAAACGCCAGTCTTTTGATTTCTCGACCCAATTATCAAGTGTACTCATATGGAGAGCTGTAATAGTTATTGATCCTTTCAATTTATATATAATTTTTTGTTAAATATAGTTTTTAAATAGAAAATAAAATAAATACATAAATTTAAGTGATACATTTAATAAAGTATAGAAATTTAGAAAATTAACTAATCGATTTTATTTGTTGACGTTTCTGAAAACATAACTCAGGGAAACTTAATCAACAAAAACAAAATAAGGTGCACAGTTTTCTTATGACATTCGAAGACTGGTGTCAGTCAATAAAATACGCTAAACCCATTTTTTCGAGTTGACAGCTCGACAATTGGAGATGAATAAAAATTCAGCACCAGTCGCCGAGTTTTAATTTTACTTAAATTCTAAAAACTCATAAAAAATGGCTGATAGGTTTTTTAAAATCCTTGTTTTCTTTGCATCCGGTGGTATAGTTGAAAATATTTTAAAAATTAAAGAATTTACTGCTTTTGAAACTTAAAAAAAGTTTGGCACATTATTAATGAAAAAATAGCAGATGGCGTTTGTCGTTTTTTTCATAAAAAGGGACTTGAGATATAGGACGAAATATTTTTTTATGTACATTGTTCAGTGACATTGTAATATTTTTATATTTCAAGTTTACGATGTTATTTACTATTTATAGGCAACACTAGTCTCCACGGCTCATAGACTCGAATTGATACACGGCTCTTTAAAAAAAAAAAATTGAAATTAAACAGTGCATTTTTTGTAATCTATTATAACTATTCTGAAAACCTCGATAAAAAATTTAGAAGGTCTGGAAAATTTGTTTCAGACGCATCTTTTTTCCTTTGAGATTTTTTCGTAAAACGAATAGTTTAAAAAATAATAACAAAAAACAGCAAAATTTAAATTCTCAAAATTCATTTAATTTTTAAACATAAACCGTTGTATCTTCGATAAATATTAATGAATTTACTTGGAATTTAATATTTAAACGCCTTTCGGTCCATAGAAGGCAACAACATAATGAAAAATAAAAAAAAAGTGAAATGTTTAATAATTTTTAATTGTTAATAGAGACCCGTCGATAATCACCGTCCCATATCTTTGCCGTCAAGAAGTCTGTGGGAATAGTTTCTAGTTGAACAAACTTCCAGTGAGACACTTGTTCATTACTATTTGAGGAAGTTTTCTGTAAATTTTCATAACGATTCCTCAAGCTATTTATTGAAATATGTTAAGTTTTAAAAATTGGCGGGCGCACCGAACGTTTGCATTTCCGAGTCTCAAGTGACACTTGGTCACTGGCTTGACGAAATATCCTTCTTTTTATAGGAAATTAATTTTACACACATTCTCTTATAGTAAAACATGTATGTTTTATATTATTTGACGCTTGAAAGAATATTTTTAACAATTGAATTCGTATTTAAAATTTTTAGAATATTAACCATACATCTTAAATTATATGTCAGATGTTTTAAAATATTTATTGACCTTTTTCATTTTATTGAAAAAAAGTTTAGATATGAAATATTTTTAATTTTTAACATAAACAACACAACAGTAATAAAATGTTAAAATTTTTTTTAAACAAAACATTGTTAAAATAAAATTAACTAATTTTAATTAATAAAATAAATATCACCTAATCATAATTATTTATTAATATATATATATATATATATATATATAATTTTTTTAAAGACTTCCTATAAAAAGAAGGATATTTCGTCAAGCCAGTGACCAAGTGTCACTTGAGACTCGGAAATGCAAACGTTCGGTGCGCCCGCCAATTTTTAAAACTTAACATATTTCAATAAATAGCTTGAGGAATCGTTATGAAAATTTACAGAAAACTTCCTCAAATAGTAATGAACAAGTGTCTCACTGGAAGTTTGTTCAACTAGAAACTATTCCCACAGACTTCTTGACGGCAAAGATATGGGACGGTGATTATCGACGGGTCTCTATTAACAATTAAAAATTATTAAACATTTCACTTTTTTTTTATTTTTCATTATGTTGTTGCCTTCTATGGACCGAAAGGCGTTTAAATATTAAATTCCAAGTAAATTCATTAATATTTATCGAAGATACAACGGTTTATGTTTAAAAATTAAATGAATTTTGAGAATTTAAATTTTGCTGTTTTTTGTTATTATTTTTTAAACTATTCGTTTTACGAAAAAATCTCAAAGGAAAAAAGATGCGTCTGAGAGAAGCATTGGGAGAAGGAATGAAATTGAGAATAAGAATGAAGGTGCCCTTTGGTTAAGGATTAAATGTAAAAATTAAGAGTAATAAATGTATATTGTTCCATCATTTTTTGTAATTTAAAATTGTATGAACAATAGTTTTAGATTATTTTTGCAGTTCAATTATATACTGTTCTGATTCTTCTATGGATTGAGATGAATCAAAATCACCACTAACGTTTTCTAGTTCTTCTATCACATCAAGTTCATCACCAACCTTCGCACTTTTAAAATCCAGTACTTCAGCCACAATTTGCCTTCCATTTTTATCTTCTAAACACGATACAAACAGACATTTTTCCTTAATTCTTGTTTCATTGTAGTCCACGGCAACATATTCTAGATCATCATCCTCTTTATCTGAAGATGAATCTAATGACTGGTTAATTTCATCAGAAATGATGTTATTTTCCAATTTATCATTTTCTACACTTTCCAACTGTTCTTCTGTATATTCTTTCTGCGAATCATCTTCTAAGATTTCCATTTGTTCCCCTTCATTTACATCTCCCTCCAAAGTTTCCATAAAATCATTTAACGGAGAAAATGCATGAACCTCCATCTCTGGTTCTTCTTCGCATTGTGTTATAATTAATTTGCCCTGTTGTTTCAATTCCGTACTTTGTTCTCTTTTTTCAAAATTGAAGGACCCTGACAAATTAGCTTTTTTCGGTGATATATTAAGCTTATTAAACCATCTAACCATTGTCACTTCGTTTGGAAGCACAAATTTGAAATCGTCCCGCATTTTCGAATAAAGTGCTGGAGAAATACAATGCATCATCATACATAAACGTTGCTCATCAGTAGTGTAACATGTAGATTGTTTATGAAATAGTTGCATTCGAATGAAAGTCAATACAAAACCTTGCAATCTATTAGCCAAAGCTTTATTCAAATAAATATCTTGAAAAGTACCTTCACTAAGCTTAGATTTCAGCCGAGATAATGCAACTCTTGTTGCACACAATTTTGCACGACATTCTATTCTTTTTTGTCGTTCTTTTTCCAATTTATTTTCTAATTTTTCAATTTGCTTTTTCAAAAAATCTGTTTCCGTTGAAACGACTTTACGCAATTTGCAAGTATTTCTACTTGTTTTTAGATTAGGATTTTCTAAGCCTAAAATTATTGGTACAGCTTCGCGTTTTAATCGACCAGTGGCATAAAAGTTGTCTTCTGAAAAATGTCTACTACAAATGTATCGCAGTTTTAAATCTTTTTCAGACATTTCAACCCAATCATCTAATCCACAGTTAACCAGCCATTTCACGCAACGATCTGCTTGTCGAACAGGAAATGCGTGAAATGTAAGACCAGGAACTCCATCTCGAGATGTGAGATTACATGATGGGTATCTACATTTTTTATAATGAACTTTGGAAAGATCTTGGGTCATTATTATTAGTATCTTCCCTAACAGTTGACATACAGCACCCTGAAATTCATATGAAAGTTTAATATTATTTTAGTTTAGTTACCTGTAATCACTATAAAATTTAATACAACTTGTACATAATCTAGAAAAGTGTTTAACTTTTATAATCAATGCATTATAAATTGGAGATTTGGCATTTGTACAAATGAAATATGATACCGTTGTTTAATGATCACGCACGTTTTCAACTCATTATATTACAACCTGTAGATGTGTTTCTAAAAAAAGGCTAAGTTTATTATATTATTGTTCACGGTTAAGCATGTGGTAATAATTATTACAATATTTTATTAACTAATTAATTATTATTATTATTATTTAAAAATAATGTGTAACATTACTTTTAACTTTCTATGCCAAACAAGTTTTACTTATAAAAATTGAAACTTTACCTTGAGTAACGCTACAAATTTCAGTATTTAAATTAATTAACTCTATTATTTATGTAAGGCATATAAGTTAAAATTTATTTAATTTTATTAATCTAATAAGTTCTTACAAATGAGGAGCTGGATATTAGAACTCGCTCTCCGCTTGGCTGAACTCCGTAGTGCCAGTCAAACGTTCGAAAAAATGATAAAAATTGAAATTCAAAATTTTGAATTTTGAAAAATACTACATTGTAGGAAAATAAAAGGCGCATGTTTTTTCTCTTTTAAATTTTTTAATAAAACGAATAGTTTAGTTTCTAGAGATCAAAAACTGAGAAATTTAAATTGTTAAATTTAATTAAGTTTTAAAACATAAATCATCATATCTCCGACAATTATTAATGAATTTGATTCAAATTTGATATGTACACGTATTAGGGTCTACTGAAGGCGACAAAATAATAAAAAAATTAAAAAAATCATTAATTGTTTAAATTCTTTTTAATAAAAATTGAGACCAGTTGATAATAACGTTTTCTTACTTTCATCGACAAAATGTCTGCGGGGAACTTTGTAGTTCAGAAAACTTCCAGTGAGACATTTGTTTATCACTATATAAGGAAGTTTTCTGTAAAATATTAAATCAATTCATTGGAAACTTTTAAAGTTATTGAAGTTTTAAGAAAGCGCGGTTGGCGCGCAAGTAAGTCCAAAGCTATTGGCACAGTCAGGTGTTGCAGTTTTTCACATTGAAATATAAATTTCTTTATTATTATTATTATTTTCTATTCACAATCAACATTTGTTTACAATTAATATTACAATGTTTAATCCAATATTTCAAATGTTCTTTTATTAAACAGATAGGTATAATTTACAGATTTTTTGTCATTTTGAATAAATGGTAAAATATATATATGTCTAAAATATTACACAAATCACATTTATTTTCTAAAGTTTATAAACCTGGTAAAATCATAAAATCAAAATTTTACAATATTTTATTTCTCCAAATTTGAATATGTCAAAACTCATCCACGTAAAAGAACAAGTGCATATAAATTTTAAATAAATGAATATACACTTATTTTTTTACATTGACGATTTTAGAGTTACAATAAGTAAATATTAACTTATTCAGATTTAGAGAGTATAATTAAAACATAAATAAAACAAAAAATTTTAAAGAGCGATATTTTCCCATTTATGTGCCTTTTATTTTCCTACAATGTAGTATTTTTCAAAATTCAAAATTTTGAATTTCAATTTTTATCATTTTTTCGGACGTTTGACTGGCTCTACGGAGTTCAGCCGAGCGGAGAGCGAGTTCTAATATCCAGCTCCTCAAATATTCTAAAATAGTAGAAATATGAACTTTTGTATTAAACACTTTTCTTAAAAATGCAATCCTTAAGAGATATCCAATAGTCCCATTTAATACACCCATGTTTATAGCTTAAAATTAGTACTATACGATGCAATTTGGAAAAACGAAAAACAAAATTGTAAGCTACAGAAAATTCACAAAAAAGCAAAAATAGCCATTTTGGACGTCGGATTCGGATTCTTCGTGAAAAAATCTACAAGAATCACTTCCCCCTTTTTTATAACAGACATAAGTGAAATTTTGCAGGCCTATGTAACGCATCATATAAAATCAGAAATTAACCACACTAAAACTAGTAATATAAAAACTTGAATAACTTCAACAAATTATGGTTGCTGAATAAGAATCTAAAATCAGATACTAATAATTCAAAATGGTGGACCCAATATGGCGGACGAATTTAAATTGATAACATATTAATGATAATTATTATGATAATGATAATGATAATTTTTTTATAAATTTGCTTGAATCTGATTACTCGGGGGTTTTTGAGGTCGTTGAATACGAATCTGAAGTCAGATTTTCAAATTTCAAAATAGCGAAAGAGATTTTTAAAAATTTATCAAATTTTGTTAAATTTCGCTGCTCAATGACTTAAGGGAAATACAAATATCAAGTCATTTTAAAAATTAAAATTTGTTATTTAACATGGTAAGGGGGTATGAAAGAAGACCCAATTTACTCTTCTATGTAATTGTATATTGACAAAGTAGTGTAGTTGTGAAATAGAAGCAAATTCATTAAATTATAATCTTTTAAAATGCAGTTCAAGTTCTGTTTACATTTACCCCGAGTTTTTAAATTCTCGGGGTAAATGTAAACAGTTTATTTTTCATTAACTAAATTGACAAAGAATAAAAAATCAAAGTCAATTTTTATTATAACATTAATAAGGAATAATTATAAATTTTGGTTTGAATTTTTAGTTATTTCAGAAAAAAATAATTAATTAAAATTTAAATAATTAAAATCATATTATTAATTGTACTTTCTGAAAGAAGAAAAACTAATTTTCAAGAAAAAAATTTAAAACCTACAAAATTTATTTATTTATACAATTTGCATAGGATAACATTTTTTTGCCATATTGCTTCTACAGAAATTTTTAAAAATGATTCCATTTCAATGTACTATAGCTTATTTTCTTCAGAAAATGATTGCCTACTATCCCCTACAAACTCATTTCTTTCTAAGTTTAATATTATTTTCTAAAATAATCAAATTTTTCATAAAAAAATAATTAGGTGATTAAATATTTTAATATGTTAGAAGAAAAGAGTTATAATAAAGAGTATTTAAAAATATAAATTCAATTAAATATAACTGAATTAATAAAAACTAAAAGATATAAATTACCCTGGAATTATTTAAGAATATATTTTAAAAAATGTATTTCACTTTTTGAAAAATCTGTATGTTTAAATATTTTTCTGTATTATTTTATAAAAAACATTAATTTTGTTAAAATAAATACAAATAATTTTGAAAAAAGATTAGATTAACAAAAATTTTTAAAAATAAGTTTAAGTGGTTTGGAAATAATGTAAATTTAATGAAGTTATTTTTCATTCTAAATAAAAAGTAAACTTCTCAATACATAACTTGAACAAAAGTCATATTGTGTTTTACATAATTTAAGAAGATTGTAAATGTAAATTGTTTTTTCTACATATTTATTTATTTATCTACATTATAATATGAGAATTTCTGCCACATCTCCAAAGAAATCTACGCATGAAAATTGTTTTTGTAAAAAGGCAATTTTCGCTTTATTACTTAGGTTAAAAACGCATGTTTTTTTACATTAGTACCCGGGTAATATTGTTTTTTTATAAAAAAAAATCGCTATATGTGCATTGCTTTGGAAACACGGCAGAAATTATCGTATTAAAAGTTGATTTTAAATACTTTTTTCAGTGCATAAATAAAATGAATAGAAATTAATCGCACTATTTAGGGTAATGTTTTTTTAATGATAAATATAAGATTAGCAATAAAAGTAAGTTGACAATAATTAATATGGTGTCAGCACATTATGAGTAACGAAATCATAAAAAAATTGAGAGTAAATTAGAAAAATTTAAGAATATGTAACTATGATGTGAATTCCACCTTCTAAAAGTCTCATACACACTTAAAGGCTAAACACATAGGAACATATATGTAGTGTAATAATGAAAATATCCAGTATATAATAAAATGCGTCAGTGTATACATCTTGAGTTTGTCATTATTTTAGCGTTATATATAAACATAGCTTTACCGCAGATAAAATATGTTGTAAACAATTTATACTTACAATTTTTTTTTATTAATACTCTGTTGGAGTAAAACGATGTAAAATTGAAGAATAATACAAAAACATGTCTCAATCACTTTTCAAGGATATCGACAAACCAAGAGATACTTAACTTTAAAAAATATATATTATATTATTGTTAAATAATTCAGAAAGAAGTTGAAATACTTCTACTATACTTTGTAAATTTTTTTCTGTTTTAACATAGACATCTCATAACGGCCAAAGCACAATTTGTTCGGGAAAGTCTCTGACTTCCGAGAGCTAGAAGCATGAGATAAAAAAGGACAGGAATATACTCATTTTCTAGCACGGTCGTATGTACATTTGTGAGTGCATGATATAGTGTGACCGTACCCTAACGAATTAGCCACAAGTATGAAGTAGGCCACTTAGGCCGTTTCCGAATTATAATTTTCAGCGCACTTTTAATAAAGTGTATTAAGGTGCTTTTATACCTCAAATTTCGATCAGATGAACATTATTTCTGGACCGTGAAAATGCGTGAAATAGTATTGGGAACGGTGGTCTAGTAACAATCTAGTAACTTTGACATATTCTCTCCCTCCATTTTGTTTTTTCTACTCTTTCTAACCTATTAATTGAAGAGAGACAAAGAAAGAAAATGGAGGGAGAGAATGGGTCCCCACCAGATGGCGTATTGCAGTTTAGCCGATCCCAATATTGTGCAACGAGTGGAGAACAAGCGAGAATCGCTGTTCTCCACGAATAGCACATGATACTTTGTCCAACAACTGTATAAATTGTAAATTACAGTTGACAGCTGTCAAATAAACTGTCAAGTTTGCTGAAAAGAGATCTTTTCGTTCTAAAATGAAAGTAAAAACATTTTCAGATCCGCTGGTATAGAATTTAAGGTAAAACTGATAATTTTTTTAATTCATATTATAATTTGACAGCTGTCAAATCAAGTGTCAAGTTTTATAAAAAGTTATTTGTTTTAAAAAAAATTTCAATAAAAGGGTTTTTGGTGTTATTGGTGACAAATTTGATGTTAAGTTGTCAATAAGTTAACAGTTAATATGACAGCTGTCAAACTGTCAATTTGTCATCAACTATGTGATTAGCTATCATTAAAAGTTTTAGTTAGTTGCTTAATATCTATTATTAGTTTTGCAAGTTTTATTACGCCTTTTACCCACTTGGAAAGATTCCTCGGAAAGTGCCCCCTGGAGATTCCATGAGAATTTCGTTGGAAATTCCAACGGAATTCCGTCGGAATTTCAGCGGAGTTCCAAAGAATTTCCGACGGAATTCCGATTAAATTCTGATAGAATTCCGATGAAATTCCGATTAATTATTTTTTAATTTTTAGAGTCTTACATTAAGAAAACTATTATTATTATAAAATAGAATTTTTATCATAGAAACTTTTCTAAAAAATTTTATTTTTTATGAAATATTTATCAGCACAGCTAGAAATCGATTAATCGAAATTAAATCGATCTGTCAAGTTGAACAACATTGTTTGAATTCGATTTATGTTTTTCTTTTACGAATTCTTTAATACATAAACCATTTTTTTAACGATGTCAAGTAAATATTTAATTAAAAATATATACTTTTTTAAGAAAGTTTCTATGATAATTCATCGGAATTCCAACGGAAATACGATTTTTTTAATCTTTTGAGCCATACACTAAGATAAAATTTTATAAAAAATAAAATTTTTTAGTAAAGTTTCTATGATAAAAATTCTATTTTATATATTAATAATTTTCTTAACGTAGGACTCTAAAAATTAAAAAAGAATTAATCGGAATTTGAGGTTATAAATCAATTTTCCAAGCATCTCAACAAATACTTTCTGTATATTAAGTTTCTTTCAGTTATTCGAAACAATTAGTTGAATTTAAATTTATTTGATAAACATTTCAACTTACCGATTTATTTTCAGCACTCATTATTTATTACAAGTTAAAAAGAACCGACATAACATAAACAAAACTCTGAGCTCTTGTAGCAGAAAACGTTTTGAAGCAAAATTTGCTAAATTTTTCAATAAAATCATCTTTCTATCAGTATTTTAAAGTATTCTTACATATTAAAACAATCATTTAATATTATATTTCTTAAAAAAACATTTTTTGTTTAAAACAATTCAAAAATACCCGCCGTGAAAATGACTTTTCACGCATTTTCACGGTCCAGAAATAATGTTCATCTGATCGAAATTTGAGGTATAAAAGCACCTTTAGGTTGTCTCAGTTCCGAGATATTTCGAGTTTAAGATATGACGTCAAAGGCCTGGACGGGCAACAAACAGACGACACAATGTTATTCTAATGGGGAAGAAAATTTGTTTCAACTTTCATCAATTTTATTCATAGTATACATGGAAAACGCTTATTGACATATGATAAAATTAAAATGTGTGTTGATAATTAATTTTGTTATATATTTGATTCAATTGCACTGATAGATTCTCTCAATTCGTGATAAAATATAAATTTTGAGGTTAGAGGTGTTTGTTTACTAATCACATATGCATGTTATTAAAAAAGATATAAAATATATATATTTTAAGTGGGAATTACCCATGAAGTAGTATAAGGAGCACCCACTCTATAGGCCGTTTTTGAAAATTCTTACCCAGCCTTTCCAGATTTAATAGAAGCATTTACATATCCCCGATACTAACAACCCTAGCGGAAAAGCGAGGAATTACAGGTCACGTGGTACATTCAGGGTTGCACAGTGACGCGTCACTCGAGGTTTTTGACGTATATTACGTAAAAAATGTAATATACGTAAAAAACCTGTAATAAATGTAAAAAAATATGGCGGCGGTCTGGCGATCAATAAAAAATATGTAAACAAATATTAGTATCACAGAAAAGCAACAAATTAATTATTTTAAAACTTTTAAAAAATAAGTATATGGATATGAATCCACAAAATCGAAAACGCCAAGCAATTCCTTGGCAAAGTTTAAAATTTTCACTCTTGAAAACTGATGAAAAAGGAGTAACCAATGCGAAATGTTTATTATGCGACAAAATAGTGCAAAACACTGGTTATGATCGTCTTTTAGGCCATAGGTATGTAAACTTTATTATTAACAATCATTTTTAGATTATATGTGTTTCATCAAAAAAAATTTAGTTGCTGACAATCAACAACTTGAATATGATTAAATCCATGCAAAAATTACATAACCTATAATTTAAATAAAGTATACTTATTTCATATATTATTTTACTATATTTAAAATATATGAAATTCTTTTGATTAACAAAACTATTGTTATTAATCATATTTATTTTAATTATTATATTAAATGTTTAAATACATTCTTTTTATTTACAGTGCGTCTTAAAGGAGTTTAAGCGGCCATTTTGAAAAAGTAAATTACGTAAAAAACTAAGCACGTAAATTACATACGTAATATACATGTAAAAAACCATGTAATTTACGTCAAGTATATTACGTACGCAACCCTGGCGTACATTGTTATATAAGTGTTTGTATATAACTGTCAGTTAGCGTTTTTTTTTTTTTTTTAATGTGTTTGAAACGAGTTAATTTTGTGTAATTATAAATAAAAAAGTGAAAAATGAGGCTGCTAAATTGATCAATGAATCAGCATTAACACAGGCAACTTTACTTGATACAAATTATTTTGTATGTATTTGAATGTTAACAAATACTTGCTGAACTTGTCATTATATTTTGTTTGTTTACATGTAAATATAACCTAAAAATAAAAAAAAATTAAGAAATTTCGTTTCAAACTTATACGGCTACAATGAAACAAAATTAATTATATATTTTTATTATTTTTATATAACTTACGCCAAAATATTGCAATTCCTTTATTATTTCATTATAAAACATAATTGAAAACAAACATTTTAAAAATCTAAATTATATATTCGTGTGTAAATAAGCAAAAACTTACCAATTTTCAAATATATTTTCAAAAAATTTACGTTTTATTTAAAATTTTTGTGTGTAACTTTTTTCTTTCATTTCAAGTTAAGTCAAATAGTTTTTTTTCTTTCTTTACACTTTTTCTAAAATTATCCCTACCGAAAGAGTGGTACTGGAATGGTACTGAATTGGACTTGGCTTGAGTTCCACTTCAGTACCACTACCTGATAACCCATAAGAAGACATTTTTAAAGTACTTTAACAATAGTTTTAAAGGTATATAAGATCAACAAACCGTCTCTCGCGAAATACGTGTAAAACAGCAAAAAAAACATAATAGTTTGTAGAAAATTTCTGTTAAGTTTGGAAATTATATTGCTATCCCTCCTTGAACAATAGACCCCTAGGTCCTTTGTTGAAGGATTAAAATTTTAACCCGAGTTTTATTGCTTAAAAAATTTGTAATTTTAATAACTCAACTTTAAAAAATATATATTCAGATTCGTTAATATTTCCAGATTATGAATATCTAAAATTTATCATAAAATAATTACATTTAAAAAAGTTATAATTTATCTCGTATACCTTAAGTTTGATAAAAAAATGGACATCATTTTTGAATTTAGCTGACAAAGGAAATATCATATGCATAATAATGTATGAAAATAATATAAATCCATGAAAAACAAATATAATATTGAAATAAATATAAAGTTTTAGTTTAAACATATTGAAAAAGCTAGTCGCTTTTCACTTTTATGAGGGTATTAACGGTAACTCGACCCTTTTCGCAGGTAAATTTCCCAGTTCCATTTCAGTACCAAAATGCACCAAATTAGTACTGAGTTGGTACTGAGATCTCAGTTCCAATTTCCCAGTACCAATCCAGTACCACTCTTTCGGTAGGGATTATATATCACTTTACACTGTTTACTATTGGCGATTCAAACAGCTACACTAGCGCCACAGTTGAACTAACTTAGGCGTGACTCGCTCTAAAGCAGTCTCTGTTGTGACAGTTTATTTCAAATTATTTAATTATTCTGATATTTTTATTGCGTTTGTAAAATAATTTTTAAGCGTTAAATAAAAAAAAATAATTTAAAACACATGGAGTGCTACAGAGCGAGTCACGCCTAAATTAGTTCAACTGTGGCGCTAGTGTAGCTGTTTGAATCGCCAATTGAGAACAGCTGTCACTAGGCGCAGCCATATTTTGAAAACTTCTAAGTACACCGCTTTTCCGCTAGAGGCGTCATAATCGGAGATATGTAATTTCGGATTTATTCTCATGCAGGGGGCCTATATGCTTAACAAGTAGTGAGTGCTCCTTATACTACTTCATGGAATTACCGCAGCAGTAAAATATTTCAACCCTACCGAAAGAGTGGTACTGGAATGGTACTGAATTGGACTTGGCTTGAGTTCCACTTCAGTACCACTACCTGATAACCCATAAGAAGACATTTTTAAAGTACTTTAACAATAGTTTTAAAGGTATATAAGATCAACAAACCGTCTCTCACGATATACGTGTAAAACAGCAAAAAAAAACATAATAGTTTGTAGAAAATTTCTGTTAAGTTTGAAAATTATATTGCAATCCCTCCTTGAACAATAGACCCATAGGTCCTTTGTTGAAGGATTAAAATTTTAACCCGAGTTTTATTGCTTAAAAAATTTGTAATTTTAATAACTCAACTTTAAAAAATATATATTCAGATTCGTTAATATTTCCAGATTATGAATATCTAAAATTTATCATAAAATAATTACATTTAAAAAAGTTATAATTTATCTCGTATACCTTAAGTTTGATAAAAAAATGGACATCATTTTTGAATTTAGCTGACAAAGGAAATATCATATGCATAATAATGTATGAAAATAATATAAATCCATGAAAAACAAATATAATATTGAAAAAAATATAAAGTTTTAGTTTAAACATATTGAAAAAGCTAGTCGCTTTTCACTTTTATGAGGGTATTAACGGTAACTCGACCCTTTTCGCAGGTAAATTTCCCAGTTCCATTTCAGTACCAAAATGCACCAAATTAGTACTGAGTTGGTACTGAGATCTCAGTTCCAATTTCCCAGTACCAATCCAGTACCAGCCTTCCGGTAGGGAAGTTAGTAAACAAACACCTCTAACCTCAAAATTTATATTTTATCACGAATTGAGAGAATCTATCAATGTAATTGAATCAAATATATAACAAAATTAATTATCAACACACATTTTAATTTTATTATATGTCAACAAGCGTTTTCCATGTTTAAAGTATGAATAAAATTGATGAAAGTGGAAACTAATTTTCTTCCCCATAAGAATAATAACATTGTGTCGTCTGTTTGTTGTCCCCCCAGGCCTCTGACGTCACACCTAGAATCGACTCTGACGTCACAAGTGACAGAGCCTAGAAGTATGCAGTGTCTATCAAAAGTGCGCTAAAAATCCCAATTCGGAAACGGCCCTGGAGTTGTTCCTTCTGTCTCTCTCTGGGTGTTTTCGGGAGTTGCTGATGGAGCATTTACACCTTTGGTAAAAAAAATTTTTTATTTTGATTTTCGGAAATGCAAAGATCTGATTGGTTGTCCATTATCAATCAGATTGTGAACAACCAATCAGGTTTGTGTATTTTGGAAAATTCAAAAATAAAAAATTTTTTTACCAAAGGTGTAAATGCTCCGTGACAGTAAAAAATTACCCAATCAGAATAAACATGCTGATGGATCAGCTAATCACAACATACTGACAGTATACTCACAGCAACTCCCGAAAGCACCTTCTATAAGGCCTAAGCAGAATAACTTCGCGAAAGACGTTCGCAAACGTGAAACATGCGTTAGAAAAGGACAGAAATATATTCGTATCCTTTTCTATCTCATGGATCTCGTTTGCGAACGACTTTCGCGAATATATTGTGCGTTAGCCTATAGTCTTTTTGCTTAGTCCACAGCTGTTCACGTTTAATGTAGAGTCAGCTTGAAATTCGTTTTGTGTGTCGTTGTCATGGGTGTCGTCTGCTTTTGTTGTGCGTTCAAATATCTGACGTCACAAATGGCAAATGGTATGATGTCATAAAAGACAAAATTAAAATCATTTCAGACTTTTTGGGATAATTTAAAAATATTAGTGACAATTTATGAGGTATGTACATACAGTGAAATGGTTAAATGAATGATCTTGATCATAAAATGTAAATTAAACATTTATTATGCATTTCACTATGTATGTACAGTAAGGTGCAGCAATACCTTTTTCGAATTAACTTGAGTGACAAGATGAACTTGTCACGTTTCCATAGAAACGTGAGTTCAATATCATTCGAGCATTGCTGCACCTTACTGTACTAGGGTATTATTTTAAATCTAAATACCCCTTCAGTGAAACCGGTAAAGTCGCACACGTGTCAATTAATCTGCAAGAGATGTTCACTTTATTGTTTTTGCTTTCTCGTGGAGCAAGCTTTGTAGTCCTTTCGTCTTTAAAATTTTTAAAAATGGTTGAAACAAATTTTCCTCTATATAGAAATATGTTATATGAGATCTTGATCAATTGTCCGGATGTTATTTATTTATTTATGCTTATTTATCACATTAATATATCAAAATAGACAAAAGCATTTTAAAAAATACAAAAAAAAATTTTATCGTCTATTTATCAAACATTTGTTTTTAATCAATAAAATTTTTTAATAGCAAAATTTAAGATGATATATAATAAAATCTTATTCTTGATGTAAACACGAATCGATTGATATGTATATAAAGTATAGGTTTGATTAAAATTTAAAGAATTAATAGAAAATCAAAAATTCACATTTTAGTTAAAAAATTTTGTGTTTATTTAAATTCAAGTTTATACACGAGGGGGAATTTACTAGTAAAAATTGTGTACACTTGACTACAACTACACATATTACCATTATTACCTTAGTATTATACTTTTTACAAGTATTACATACTACTACCAAAATATTACTGTATTACAAAGTATTACAAATGTATTACTGAGTATTACCCTTTATTACAAAAAATATTACACGTCAAATATAGCACTTTCTCATACGTAGAACTTTCAATAAAATTATTATTTAAGAGCAAAACTTTACAATAAGAAATAGAGAAATAAATAATTAAATATTTTTAAATATTAGGGTAAGTGCCTCAATTACGACGATAGCATCAATTACGGCGCGTTCATAAAAAATGACTATTATTACTATTATACCTATTTAATATAACTGTTGCAAAATGATTTAAAAAAATTATTTTAATTTTTTTTTGATACAATTACTAATGAAGATGCATATTTAAACAATTATTAATTAAATTATTTATGATCAAATTTTTTCCCTTGCCGTAATTCAAACATTTTGCTTCCTCGTGGAAGAAGCTTTGTAGTCCTTTCGTTTTTAAAATTTTTACACGGAGAGAAAAATCATACCATATTCACATGGGTTGTGTCACTCATTATTCACATCACTTGTGACGTACTTTTTTTAGACAAAATTCATGAGTTTATAGGGTCGTAGATTTCTATGCAAGAAAAGTTTGGAACGTGTACTATATTTGCTTCAAGTCCATGATGTCAATACTCTCCTCCACTCAATGCGAAATTTGCTTGAAATCCATGCGCTTTTCGGATGGATTTCTTGTAACAGAGATAGAAATGATAGTGCGCATGCGTGACTTCCGAAATGGAAATGGTGAAATAGTTATTTATGATACAAGTGCGTAAAGTG